CTGCAGCCAGTCGGTTGCTGCAGGTCCCTACGCGTAGCACTGGGATTCACGCTAGCAAAACGGATGGTAGGGGTAGAGTCTGGGGTTTTCAGCTTTTTGGAGACCGGGAGGTTGTGTGTCTTTAATTGTAATATCTACAGAATACCTCTGCTTTTCTTGTGCTCTCTCAGCATAAAGGAACTGATGGGCAATAGTTGGGAAGTTTAAATAAATCCCAGGTTGTATATGCTCCGTACAATCCCTGCAAGAGACCCCCAAACTACAGTAACCTGTCAGTGAACTTAGTTAGCAAGGTGCTCCACACTTTCCCTTTTTACTGATTTCAGAGAAAGGTGCTCATCATTTTTCACCTGTAGGCATTTAGCAAGAGATCCCCTTAGTAAAATCTTGGTTTATGTCTGCTGAGATGCTCTTGAGCAAAACCAGCAACTGCATAACATGTTTGCAGTATAAATTTTTGCTGTGTGGTGAATGCTCTAATCCTGTCACACTCTGTGTGTAACATTGTGGTGGTATTACCGAGTTACAGTAGTCTTTTTTTTGCTGTTTATTGGATCTAGGTGTATTCCTTGAGTAAGTTAATGTTATTATATTATACATGGGTGTTTGTATTATTTTTTTCTTGTGCTCTCTTTGTAAGTAGCTTCGGGTTTCCTGACTCTGTATAAGCAGCTTGCTTCCTTCTACCCCTTGCTGGCCACATTGCAATTGTAAATTGGTGGGCTGTTTCTAGAGTAGCTCTCCTGTCAGTCTGATAAGATCATACCACCAGGAAAGCATAACATTATAATCCCAAGCACAATGTGATCCTGTTCATTTTAGCTCTCGTACTTGTCAGAGGGACAAGAATAAAGGTTTTGCATGGGTGGAAGGTGAGGCTAGAAGTGAAGATAGTAGGAGATAAAACACTTGGCTAAAAGAGATAAATCCTGCACAGGGACATTTCAGTTTGCAATCAAGGTATTATCTAGAAATGAACTTTGAAAGCTGGCTGGAATGTCTTGAGTAATACAGGATGTAAAGCTAACATAGAGAATACAAAACTGTAATATGGATTAGTGCCATGGGGAAAAAAATATTTTGTCCTTCATTTTTTCTTAGATTTGGTGCCACATTTGAAAGTATAGTCACAAGAATACCATAGACAAGAGTAAAAAGACTAAAAGAAACGGATCTACAAGAAACAAGAGATTTGTGGTAATTCTAGGCTTGCTACATTTTACTGGGAGAGATGAGTGCTTTCCAGAAAAAGCTTCTGAAAAGAGGGAAAATTTAAGGCATGCGTTAAGGTATGGGGACTTCAGACCCTTAAAAAAATCCCAGCAATTACCTAACCTGCCAACTTTCCAACAAGATAAATGGAAGCAGTGTAGCTTGAAGGTGCCTTGGTTTGAATGAGATGCAGTAAGTAAGGTCTCTCTGTTCTTTACAGGCATCATAGATCTGATAGTACTTATAAAAGAAGAATAGAGTTGGTGCCCTGCTGACTAAATTGTCCTCCAGAGGAGTATTAGTTACAGAGCTTCTTTGTTAACTAGGCTGTATGCCTAAACCACTGTGAATTTCTCTTATTAGTAGGCTTTTTAATAGCTTTACATATGGATATGCTAAGTAAATGCAAGTATATCCATGTAATTTACGTATATAACGTGTACGTGTACAGTATTTTATATATAACTCAATGTTTGTGATGTGGAAATTGCATATGACTTCATTACTGTTCTGTTAAACCGAGGTAAAAGCAAGCATTAAAATACTGATAATAGGAGAACAGTAAGTCGACTTCTGCTCTTTCTGTCCGGGTGCTTCACATAAGGTCTTTCTTCTCCTTCTCTTTAATTTCCCAATTAGCTTTTGTGGATAACAGAGGTGTTTCTAAAGCCTTTGTATGCTGGAAGTTTCCCAGTTGCTCACCTACTCAGGCTTTCTACCTTAGAAGACTAGGTAAGGCCACAAAGTGTATGCTAACAAAAAATACAAAGTAATGATCTGCAAACCACCCTGCGTGGAACAGCTGATATTTCTCATTTTAGTCCACTGTAACACAAGGTATAAAGGTTGCGTAGCACAGCCCTGGCATCTAGATAGGCAACAGCCTTTTGTGCTATCCTGAGAGCAACCTCATTATCAGCTTTCGTGATGGGTCTGATGAATGAATGCTACCATAGCATCCTCGGCAGATGAGTGGATTGTGAAGTTCCTCAGCCCGGGGAGGAAATCCCAGTGCTTATGCCGGGCGCGCGTGGGGAGCGCGAGGCTCAGCGGGTGTGCTGAGCCCACCCGGCTGCTCCCTCTGCGTGTGCAGGGGAGGATAGTGTGGCTTCGATCTTTAAATAGACCGGCATCAGGCAAGCTTTCCTCTTCCTTTTCCGGTTTTGTGAAGGAGTTGCATCAGGTGGGTGAGGAAATCCCTGGAAGGCAGGCACTTGAGGAAATGCCTGGGACTCGTCAGTCACTCCAACCCCGCAGGAGGCTGGAGAAGTCAGATGCGACCTGATGGGAAAAGCAAACTTCATTCCTGTCCCCAAGTTCTTCCCCATGTGCAGGCTCGGCAAGCTGGGGAGATGCTGTGGGGAGCGGTCAGGTTTTGCCTTGGTCTCTGAACAATAGATAATTTCATCATGGACAGTGCTAACTGCTTCATGGCTTTTTGCTATTTTGGCATGTTTGTTTTTCAGGTACTTCATGGCTTGCTGAAACAAATGAAAGCTTTAATCCACACACCCTTTTAAACTCTCTGTTATTCTAAACGTAAAACCCTGTGTTTTCTATATCTTCCATCAGTTGGGTGTCTATCTGTTTTTTTATGCAGAATTTGTATTCCTTTAGAATAGACTCTATTCTGCTACATTCGGTTTTCAGGGGTTTATTATATGCTTTTCAGCAGCATTTGTTTTATCAGCACTTCCTGCAGCATTTGTTACACATCACGACAGCAGCGATTTGATTCCATTTAGAAGAAAAACATATTATGTATGGAAAAGCAGTAATTGCTTACCTGTTTGCCAAATACATTCTACTGTGAAAAATCTCTAGCATTGCTCTATACAGTATCAAACGGTGCTATTTCTTGTTTATATTTTGTACAGTTAATAGTTTCGAAAAAGAAACAATTAAAATGGTTTATTGCCTATTTCACAATTAAATTTCCATTTGTAGGGATTTGGGAGTCGTCTTGCATGAATGCAGAGTCCGCACATAGACTGAGGTTTCAAACTTAATTTCTGCTTTTCATATGCTTAATGAAATACACGTACAATTTTGTGCTCATCAGTAAAAGCAAAATTAACGTGTGGTGAGAGTTGGGCTTGAAGTATTTGTGGAAATTCATTGGAAATAAGGTCTGCAAGGTGTCCTGCAGAGAGCTAAGTCGGGTGGGTTGTATTTACTACCTTTATGCACAAGGAGGAATAACGTGTAGCATTCTAGGTGCCTTCTAATGAATATTATTGGTGTTAAAAGTGTTAATGCTGCTCTTCCTATGCCTTGGAAGACTGACGGCATCTGTCTGTTAGGGAAGGCTGGCTGTGAGCCTCCCTTGTAACGGAGGTAGTCAGTATCAGACAGAACTCTTACTCTAAATACACCACTTTGCATTTCATCCAAGTTCTGTAACTTCTCAAACTTAACTTTATTTTTTGTTATGAGAATTAGGCAGCAGTAAGGCTTTGTATCCTGAGCTCTTTGCTCAGGCAGAGCCCAGTTCTTTTTGTGCTACTCAGACAATGGGTCCTGTTGTCTATGGTGCAACCACTTGCATGAGCCGGACAAGTGAAGTCAGTATCAGGCAGAGTTACACACTGTCATCTCAGTTACTGGAAGCCTCAGTTTTATATGTGAGGTAGCTCTCTGCCTCTTGTTTGCACCTTAATTTGCTAATAGAAATAGTAACGTGCTCCTTAACTTGTGCCTTGCCAGTAGTCAGGGAAGCACAGCTATCTTCGTGCTTTTCAGTTTGTATGAGATTTTTCTGTGATGCTTAGGAATTAACATTTTTCCTGACAGTTAAGGAGCATACACTTGCTTTGTCACAGCATTCTTGGTTTTTCATATCTGATTTTACAATGATATAAAAAAACAAATTACTGCCACAGATCCAAAGACCAGTATTACTCCCATGTTACAGCTTTAGTGAATATGCCCAGGAATTTGTAGTTAGAATTCAGGTGTGCTGTGACCTGTGGATGAAATTCCTCGTTGAAAATGCAGCAGTTACGGACGAACTGGAGCAACTGTTTAGCAGTGTATTTGAATGCAATTGAAGAGAAGCTGTGAGTGGTACACTAGTATTTGATGGAAACACCACCTGGTCTAGTGGGAGATGTCCAAGCCCGTGGCAGGGGGGTTGGAACTCTAGATGATCTTTAAGGTCCTTGCCAATGTAAACCATTCTATGATTCTATGAAATAGAGAAGCATCCTTCCTTGCTCCTAGGTGGCCAGTGGGTCCTGTGCTGCTGCTGAGGGCAGGACCTCTTCTTGTGTCTCTTCCGCAAGGTGAAGGAGCTGCATGTGAGTGTTAGAAGGGCTGCGTATTTTAGACCCTTCTTCTCTCGTTTTGGTGATGGTTTAAAGAGTGAAGTGTATAAGCTGTGATTGTAATGGTAGCAAACTCCAAAATGAAATACTGCATGAAAGTGAAACTGATGTATCATTTTCATTAGTTTTAGTATGCTCAGGCAGAATTTGTGGGATTAATTTTGAAAGCTTAATCCAGATGGAAAAAGTTAAATTCAATGTTGAGTGAATCTGGTTCCAATTCATTTGCTGCCCTCGCTTGTTCTTTTTCTCAAAAGAATTAGAGATTAAGCAGAGAATTGTACATACTATCCTCGTTTTCTGCCATCATTTAACTACATGAACCAACGTTAAAGACAACCTCTCAGTTATCTGCTGCAATAAGTAAACAAATGGACCTCATCGCCATGCCAGCTCTCGAGTCTCTGTGGCCTGAGTATTAGTTCATATGAATACTTATGTTCTTTTTTCCTTTTTCCTCAGGATTTATCTGGATCTATTGACGACTTGCCGACTGGAACTGAAGCAACCCTGAGCTCAGCTGTTAGTGCGTCAGGCTCTACGAGCAGCCAAGGGGAGCAGAGCAACCCTGCACAGTCTCCGTTCTCCCCTCATGCTTCTCCACATCTCTCTGGCATCCCTGGGGGCCCATCGCCTTCCCCTGTAGGCTCTCCCGTTGGAAGCAACCAGTCGAGATCTGGTCCCATTTCTCCAGCAAGTATTCCAGGTAAGTTTGTTCCAACAAACAAAATTAAACTGATAGACAGGTTTACTAAATAAACAAATACTCCTGTATTCCAAATTCATTTATTTTCTGAGAATCCTGCATTTTCAGGGCCTTTTTCTGAAAAAAATGCATACTTAGGGCTAAATTCCATCTAAACTCCAACTGCCAAGCCCTTGGAGTGCTCAAAATTCTGAACTTGACTCCACATACTTGTTTGATAAATGTCTTTATGTCATTGACCTATGCAAATACTTGGTTGTAATTTTTGTATTTGGTTTGCGTGTCATCTGTATGTCATATATTTCTTTCTGTTATTTACAGGGTCCCTTTTTTGTTTTTACTGTGTATTTTTGTTGGTTTTGGCTCTTGGACTTGTATGGGGGTTTCAGACCCATAGGATGAAGCAGAGATTTTCCAACCCTGTATTGTGATAATGTAGTTTTGGACATGAGTACAGAATATTGCAAAGGTCAACAAGTTACTAGGAATCCAGCCCTACCAGTAATAATTGAAATGCCAGGGGCATGCTTGCCACTTTCTCTCTTGGGCCCCACTGAGTATGACACATAGAGGTTCATGTACATTCAGAAATTTGTGGAAATGTTAAGATACCCAGAAGAAAAAAAGGCGTGCATTAATTCCAGTTCTTACCTTGTCCCCACCCATCTGGCACATTGCTTGTAGATGGTCAGGCAGCAGTGCATATTTGGTATTTCAGATGAGTTTATTCTCTTTCTGATGCTCAAGTTTTTGATTGTTTTCTGACATTTGGAATACTAGGGGAATTCCTAAGAGTAGGAGAGTGCTGACATTACCTCAGGGATAACACCAGTTGCTGACAAAACCACAAAAAACTCAACATGGAGCTCAGTTAAAAGAAACAAAATGCTGGGAGTCCTGGTGGACAACAGGTTGGCCATGAGCCAGCAATGTGCCCTGGTGGCCAAGAAGGCGAATGGCATCCTGGGGTGCATCAAGAAAAGTGTGGCCAGTAGGTTGAGGGAGGTCATCCTCCCCCTCTACTCTGCCCTGGTGAGGCCCCATCTGGAGTACTGCGTCCAGTTCTGGGCTCCCCAGTTCAAGAAGGACAGGAATCTGCTGGAGAGGGTCCAGCAAAGGGCTACAAAGATGATTAGGGGATTACAACATCTCTCATATGAGGAAAGACTGAGGGACTTGGGTCTCTTTAGTCTAGAGAAAAGAAGATTGAGGGGGGATCTTATTAATGCTTACAAATACTTAAAGGGAGGGTGCCAGGGGGATGGGAACAGTCTTTTTTCAGTGGTGCCCAGTGATAGGACAAGAGGTAATGGGCGCAGACTTGAACATAGGATGTTCCATCTAAACATGAGGAGGAACTTCTTTACTTTGAGGGTGGCAGAGCACTGGAACAGGCTGCCCAGAGAGGTTGTGGAGTCTCCCACTCTGGAGACATTCAAAACCCGCCTGGACGCCATCCTGTGCAACCTGCTGTAGGTGACCCTGCTCTGGCAGGGGGGTTGGACTAGGTGATCTCCAGAGGTCTCTTCCAACCCTGACCATTCTGTGATTCTGTGATCCTTTTTCATTAGATGTGCTGTACACTAAATGTGGGTTAAAATTCAGTGAGCAGCGTGTGTTTCGGTATTCAATACAAAGGTATCTGTGTGAAATGTAGGTACCTGTTTGCATACAGGGATTAAACTAGATAAGCAAAGGGGAGTAAGCTCAGTGCCCGCAGGAATGTTGTGCACTAAACGTGGCTTGAGCGTGCTGAGCCCTGATGCTGCGTGTGCACCCTGCAGTCATTTCTTCCCTCTCCGGCCACTCCGACCGGCAGCATGTGCTCAGGTGGGGCAGGAATAGTGGGGGCAGTAGCAGGATCAGAGTATTTGCAGCGTATTTCCCAGTACGTGGCACAGAAGCCTGTCCCTGTTGTTGAACAAAGCCAGATATTCCACTTAGCTGGAGAGGTAACTTTTTCCCACAGTCAGATTCAGGCAAGTAAATGGATTGGCATTTTAGTAGCCTCATTGCTGAACAGGGAAAGAATGTTGTGACGTTGAAAATAGCTTTATTGTAGCCATGGTAGATAAGGATGGGAACAATACAGTGTGCAGGGGAAAGTAATAACTTTTACGAAACCAACTGATCCCTGTGGGGTAAAAATAGAAGGGGTGTGGGCCCAAAGGTCAGGGTCAGAGTCACTTCATCACTTCAGCTGAGCCCAAAAGCTCATTTTTGTGACTGGTCTAATGAAAAGTATTGCCTCCTCGTACAAACTGTGCCACCATTTTGCATGGTGGTTTTCTGGTCTGCTGCGGTAACACAAAAGCAACTCCTCCTCAGGAAGGATTTTTATGAATGGCGCTAAATCAAAATCACCCGCCGCTGTTTCCCCGGCATGGGCGAGCCCCTGGTCTCTACAGCTCTTCTGCTAAAGGTGAACTCCCAGGCGTGAGCTAATGCAACGGTCTCCGGAGGGGAGCCGGGCAGCTGTGGTAGCATTGCTGCTGCTGCCACCACCACTGCGTTTCTCAAGCTAGAAAATGACACGAGCAAGCTTTTTTTCATCAGCCATATTAACGAGACCCTATGAAAAAGTAGCAGAGCTTGTTTGCATTTCTGTGGTTGTTAGCAGCATTCAGGTTGTGGCCGTTTTTAAACATCAATTGTGTAGTACAGCGTCTCGCCTTTAATAATTTTGTTCGCTGCTATTTTCCTCTCCGTTCTCACCCTACCCTTGTTTGTTCTGACCTCATTCCTCTCCTATTACCTCCTGCGATGTTGTGCCACAGCTTCTCCGTGTGACATAGATTGGCTCTTTCAATCATTCTCTCTCCAGCAAGTCATTGTAAAATGAGCAGCTGTTGTGTTGCTGATAGCTATGGCTAGGGAAAGCCAAAATGTTGCAGGGGGTTCGTGGTGGGAAGGCCGTCAAAATAAAGGTGTTGCTTTCCCAGGGTTTACTGGAAGAGAAGCATCCTTTTCCCAATGCCTCCTTCCTTGCAACAAAATTGAAGACTAATTTAACATCAAAAGGGCGGACAAACAAACGGCCCCCTGTTAAACCTCCCAAATGGCTGATTCTCTTCCACTGCCTGTTTAAGCTGTCTCCCCACCCCACAGCAAGCCTGCTGCCCCGCGTTGCTTTCTGCCGCACGCCGCGAATTTCACGGGAATGGACTGGCACAGGCAGCACTGACATTGGCACGTCCCTAGCTCAGTGGGCATTTCCTTCCTGTGCTCTCTTGAAATACTGGACGGATATTTTGTGTGGTAAGTGGCACACACATATACAGCCTTTGTTTCCATTCGCATTACCAGAATAGACCAGGGAGATTAACCCCTAAGAGCAGAAAAAGCAACTTTGATGGGGTTTGTTCAGAAACATAGTTTTCTCTCAAAGTGGAAACACTTCTCGTTCAGACATATATTCATTACAGGACTGAAACCCTCCTCTTTCGTGATTTTTAGGGATTCAAAATCGCATTCTGATTTCCTATCAAGTAGATCATTATTCTGCTTTGCCAGAAATCCTTATCTCTTTATTTTGTAGCTGTGTTCATAATTAGGGTACGTGTTCTTCCAAAGAATGAGATGTGATGCCCTGCACTGCTTTGGGTCTTGAACTGTGCCTGATTCAACCCTAAACCATTAGTGGGAAGCTGACACAGCACATCATCAAAATGCACTGCTGTTGCCAGAAGATTTAGTGGCTGTTAATTTCACTTTTCTCTCTTTTTTTTTCCCCTTTCCCTCCTGCTCCAACCATTCCAGTTTACTAACAAAGCAAAAATGTAAATAAGCTAAAATCCCCTTTCTCCCCCCCGCATCCCCAATTTTGATCTCACTGGCCAAAGGCTTTTGTCAGCTATTTCTCCCTTGCGGTGTAAGCAGCAAACATTTTTAATACTAAGAGTTCTGTGGAAGATTGCTGATAGGCCAGGAATCCCTTAACCCATGATGGACAAGCAGAAGTTGTACAAGTTAATAGATTCTATTGTTTTTAAACCTGTGCAGCCATTTTTATCTGTATAGAAGAGAAGGGTACGCTATACTAATAATGAATGGCAAATGCTGTCTTCAGAAATCTGTAAAAGTATTTTTTTCACAGTATTTTGACTTGAGCTTTTAGTACATGTTACATTTACTCTGAACAAACAAGCTTATTTTCACTCTGGTAAGCATCAACTGCGTTGTTGCTTTTATTACAATTGTATTGATGTCTTCTTTCACCAAGAAGCTTGGATATAACTGGAGTTACAATTTTCAGGAAGAAATCCATGTGTGGATACTCTCACTTAGGAATGTTATTGCCAGTCATTTTAATTTATGCTAACCACTGGTCAGCACCCTCCTCTGATTAAAAAGACCCCAGATTTTTAAATAATTTAATTTTAATAACGAGTCAATGGATGTGTTTCATTCAGTGATCAACCCTACTCTCTGCAAACTTGGAGATCTTCCCCTGCTGTATTGATCAGCTAGCTAGCTTGAAATCCAGGACCCATCAGAACTACAGGATTACAGCTAGCGCTCCAGGCAAAAAAGGAGCAAGAGGGGAATGGGATGCCCAGAGAGAGCTGTAACAGGAAATCTTGCCTTGGTGTGCATGTTAGTCAATGTGTGGATAGACTAGAGTGACTAAAATGCTGAGAGAAGGAGAAAAATAGCAATAGTCTATCATAGTCCAAAATGACATTTTAATGCAAAAATCTGAATAGGAGTGGTGCTTTCTTTCATGTCTTATAAAAGGAGAAGCCTAAGAGTTTAACTGTTTCCAGAAGTGGCTGCAGTACGACAAGCCAATCAGACAGATTTTACTTTAAACAAGAATTTGGAGAAATCTTTTGCTTGGGATTGAGCTATTCTACGTGCTTACTCCATTGACCACCACTACTGATATGTTGTACAGCATGGACTCTTTTCAAACATTATTTGAGGGAGAGAAGACTACCATATGAAAATGAATTTGTAATGCTATATTTTTTGTTGAAGTTTTACAGATACCCTAAAAT